GGCTTGGATAAACTAGTTCTTAAGTCTCGTAAATTTGTTTTTCTAGGTTATCCTCGATCTCAAAAGGGTTACCGTTGCTACTCTTCGACTATACATGGATACTTTATCTCGGCAGAGGTCTCCTTCTTTGAACCAGTCCCATTTTTTGGCTCCATTATTGCTCCTGCAAACCCTGATCAGTCATCTCTCCCTATCGACACCTTTGAATACCTTCTGCTTCTTCATGTCCCTTTGTCTGACCTTCCTTCCGTCAACTCTTCTCTTGATGATTTACAGCATGTTTCACCTTATATTTTTGTGGGTTCTCATTTGCCTGCATCTCCTCCCTCGGCTTCGGTCCCACCTTTTACTAGTGACCTTCTCATTGCTCTCCGAAAAGGTACCCAAGAGACCCGCCCTATGGGCCGGTATTTAGTTAATATAAGTTATCATCATCTATCTCCATCATATTTTGCATGTCTTTCTTCCTTGTCTTTTGTGTCTATTCCTAAGGCTACATGTGAAGCACTTTCACATTTTGGATGGAGACAGACTATGATTTATGAAATGAGTGCTCTTCAGCACAATGTCATATGGGATCTAGTCCATCTTTCATCACAAAAAACTGTTGTTGGTTGCCGCTGGATTTATGTTGTTAAGATTGGTCTGGATGGTCAAGTGGATCGTCTTAAAGCTCGCTTGGTGATGAAGGATTTCACTTAAGTGTTTGGATTGGATTTTGGTGACATTTTTTCTCTTGTGGCGAAGATGTCTACTATTTACTTCTTTTTAGCTATGGCTGCTATCTGCCATTTGCCTCTTTATCAACTTGATATTAAGAATGATTTTCTTCATGGTGATCTTGTGGAGGATGTTTATATGAAGCAACCTCATGGATTTATTGTTCAGGGGGAGTCAGGTCTTGTTTGTCGTCTCTCTGCAAGTCTCTATATGATCTCAAGCAATCTCCAAGAGCTTGTGTTGGCAAATTTAGCGGTGTTGTTCAACAATTTGATATGACTCAGAGTGAAACTGATCATTCTCTATTTTATCATCATTCAGCTTCAGGGTCTATCTACTTGGTGGTATCAGAGCCTCGTGTCCTGTGTTCGTGATAATGTATATTTTATTGCACTTATTTATCACTCTTGATTAGCATTTTAAGAGTATTTGGCATGAAAATAATGGTTTTTTTGGTTAAATTAGATTTTTGGTTGTTTATTGGGTTTAATTTATTTTCGTCATTAATTTCCAACTTAACGTTACTTTAGTATTTTGACCATATCTCACTCCACAGGTATCTAATTGACTCCGTTCTTGTTGCGTTTTAAAGATAACTCAAAGGGATACAAATGCTATGCAGACAAGAAAGCTCAGTTCGAACAAGAAGACGGTGTAAATTAGAGCCAAGGCGGATGTTAATTGCTGGAGATTTATTAATTTAAGTTTGTAATTAGAACCCAATGTTGTTTAAGCCCAAAACCATTTGTTTAGTTTTAATTTTTATTATTATGGGCAGATATTAGTTGAACCCTAACCCGATTTGAATGCGTTTAAAAGGTTCGTTTAGGAAACTTGTCGGCAGTCTTCGTTTGAGAGTTTGTACGATCGACAAATTGTCTCTGGAGATTTTAGTTCAATTCTGTTCTTCTTCTTCAACTTTTCTCCTTCTTCTTTTTAATTTTGAATTATGTTTATCTTAGCCATGCTATACTAAGTACCCTTTAATCAACCTAAGGGTAATGAATTCCATGGATTAGTCTAGAGGATCTGTATTTTTCCTTTAATCAGATTCGTTTCTCTTCCAAACTCAGATTGATATCGTGCGATTGTGGATATTCAATCTGAGATTTGCGATTGCAATTATGGAAAGAGATTAATCATCAGATTTGATGATTAGATTGATTAACCCTATGACCTTAAGTCAAACGGGCTAATACTTTGCGATTGTATAAGTAGAAACATCGTATTTGATCAAACGCTAGGCGACCGCTTAGAGAGGGTTCTCAATTGAATACAAGGATTCTGATTCAATTGAAGTTAATCACAAGTTTGGTATCTTTTTATCCGAGGAAGGACGTCCTAGGATCCTAACCTTAGGTTGGTTGTTTAAAGTACAATTTCAATTTCATCTTTTTACATTCTTTTTTATTTTAATTTAAGCGAACAAAACCCTCTTCTTCTTTTCTGTTTTTAATCTGCAATTTTAATCCTTGCAATTTCCTTGGGAGACGACTCAGTTTGACGTTTTACTACAAGTTTTAAGAAACCTGATTTTATTAATTTGCGCAAGTTCAACAGCTCGTGTCAGTTTGATCATCACCGCCCCACTTTCTCTTGTGGAATTTCTTGGCACAGGTAGGTGGGTTTGCGTATTATCCACCCTTCATGCCAATGGGCTCTCGTGTGAAGTGCGTGTTAGAGAAGTATATAAATCATTGATAGACCTTCACTAAATAGTTTAAGCTTTTAGGTTGAATTGGTTCTTTACAATATATATATATATATATATATATATATATATATATATATATATATATATATATATATATAGGATATTCTTACACCGGTGTAAGAGTTAGAAGTCTTACACTCAATCTTGATCATTGATCCACTTGTATCCAATGACTCACATTACTAAAAAATTTGAACCATTAGATATAAGTGGGATCAGCAGACAAGATTAAGAGTGTAACTTACACTGGTGTAAAATGATCCTAACCTTATATATATACATATATATATATATATATATATTTATATATATATATATATATATATATATGGGAGAGTTCTTTTGACTCCAGAATAAGACTTAAAAATATTACTCCTTATCTCAGCCGTTGATAGAAGAAAATCAACAGTTGTCATTTGTAGTATAATTAATAATTAATTAATTAATATGACTTCCTAAACTATAACTGTTAGATGAGCGAAACTCAACGGTTAAGATGGATAGTAAGACTTGTAAGTCTTACTCTAAAGTCAAAATATCCCTATATATATATTTCAATTTTTTCTGTTTTTGAATATAAAAAAGTATAAGAAATCATATAAAAATTATGGCGTATAAGAATCATTTCTCAAAATATAATATTAATTTGAAATGTGTGGATAAGATGAGAAAAATAAAAGAGGCCTTAATTTGCACATAAATGTTGGAGCCAATGTTATTTGATTTTTTTTGGGTTAACGTAATTTCTTTCATTTTGTCACGTATATCTATAAGAGTGAGGATATTTTAACTACCAAAAACTCTCACTACTAACTTACTACACATCACATCACCATTGGATCAAAGAGAGAGAATGTTAAAAAGTTTTTGAAGAGAGATAGAATGTTAATCTAATGGTGATTAGATAGGTAATAAGTTGGTAGTAAAAAATTTTGGTAGTTAGAATATCTTTCCTCTATCTATAAATTGCCTAAAGTGAAATTTTTCTCCACGTGTTATTTTTTTAGTCATAATCATATAGACTTTGCCACTATTTTTTTGTTTATAAGGTCAGATTTTATTTTTAATAGACAAAACTCAAAACATAAAATAAGGATAAACTGGATAAGTTAGCTCAATTATTACTGGTGTTAAAGGTGAAATTTGATAATAAAAAAAATCACAAGGCGATAATTGATAAAAAAAAAAGGGTGTAAGTGATAAAAAAAAAAACTATGGGATTTATGGAATTTTTCCTTTATTAAATTATTAGTCACAAATAAATATTTGATAATTTAAGATATTGATATGCTAAAGGTTATTTAAAAAAAAATTTGAAAAAAAATATATATTTGGGAGTTGACTGGTGACCGGAGATGACAGTAAACGCGGGATTGGAAGGGAGAAAGTGACGTTGGAAAAGTGGAGCCGACGATACCGGATATCACAAGTTGGAATGTCGGTAGATTATTGAATATGAAAAAAAACAAAATTTCTAGTCACTTTTAAAGTTTGAAATCTTGAAATATTTGGCTCGCTTGAGTTTTTTTTTTTTATATATATATATGTAATATATTAGAAGTATAAACGTCAATTAATTATTAGATATCAGTAATTTATACGTGAATTTTATAGTAAGAAATGTTGATGCCAATTTTTTGTAGCAATAAAAGTATAATATATTTCTTAATTTTATTAGTTTTTAAATTTTAATAATTAAAATATAAAAGTAATATGCATATCATATTTTTTATCGAAGAACAATAGTGCAAGTATAAAATACTATTTAATTAAATTTTGTCCTTTTTTACTGAAGACAAAAATAAATAGAACGACTTTACACAAACCTCTTCATATTAGATTCAATTAAATTTTACAAGCCCATTTAAAATTTATATTTATATTTTTTAATGATCTTATTTTGTAAAAAAAAAATATTCAAAAAGATTTTTTCCTTCTAAAAATAAGATTAAAGCTAAAAAAATAAAGAGAGATTTTTTTCATGATCTTATTAAGTAAAAAAAATATTCAAAAAGATTTGTTTCCATTTTTAAACTATTAATTTCAAATTGATCTAAAAATAATCAATCAAGTAATTAGAATAATAAACCTAAAATGATAATAAATATATAACAGAAAAATTTCATCAATGGCTGCAAATAAGTTATCTGCATTTATTCCCAAAACGACGTTGTTTTAGGATTGAAAGATTAAAAAATTATAATTATAAAGACTATAATAACTCTAAAATAAATTAAAATTATAAAAAAATCATTTGAGCTTATTGCAGATAATTTATTTGCAGTGAAGAAAAAGCGAACCCTAAATATAATCACCCTATATATTGTTAATAATTACAAATAAAACTAAACAAAACTTCACTTCAAAACTAATAATATTACTTATTTAATTATTATGATTTTACACAATAAACATTTAAAATTTATCAAATACGAATAACCATTAATTATTATTTCACTTTTACTTGCCCATTCAAAAATCACAACTAATCAAGCCAAACTCAACTATAAAATCTCTAAATCTTTGCCTTCAATACTCTCTCTGTCTCTCACTTTGTGAAGAAGAAAATCTGTGTGCATGATTTTGGGTGTTGAGAGTGAGGGAGTGCTGTGCTGATACTTCTCGTGAATCAATCATCACTCTTTCTGATTCTGATACCAAAATGGTGAATCCTCGATTTTCACGCTCCAGGATCCGAACCTTCAGCTTCTCTTTCACAGTTTCCATTGCCATCTGCATTTTCTTCACTCTCTCTTTTATCTTCACTACCCATTCTTATTCCTCCCATCAACAAAACCACTTGGTAAGCTTCCATTTTCACTTCTCTTCGTTTAATTTTCTCTCCCCTTTTTTTATTTTTATTTTCTATTTGTGATTTTTCCCGGGAAACAAACAGTTTTTTTTTTTTAATTTATTGATTTCTGTCTTTCTTTGTTTCTTGTTTAGTTTAATTCGAAGAAAAAAATGGTGGGGTGGGGTTGGTTTTGGATCTTGTTATTTGGGTGCTAGTGGGTCGGGATCTGTTTCTCTCCGGATCCGGTGAGGGTTTGATGTGTGCTAATTTTCTCGGGAATCAAACATGGTTTGTTTTTTTTCCTAGTCTGGAAAATTTTAAATGGAAATGTTACTACAAATGAAAAAATTTGTATTTCATTTTCTGGGAAATTTCATAGATTTGATGAAGCTAGATTAATTTTTTGTTGTTGTGCTTTGAACTAGGCTTATGTGGGCTAATTTTCTCAGGAAACAAACATGTTTTTTTTTTTTTCGTAGTCTGGGAAATTTTCAATGGAAATGTTACTAGAAAGGAAAAAGTTTGTTATTTTTAAAAACACAAAAAAAAAAAAGAGTAATGGGTAAGGAATTTTTTTTTATGAAGGTAGATTAATATGTTGCTGTGCTTTTGAACTAGGGTTCTGATGATGGTGTTGCACATGGATTCGAGTCTATAAGGAGATCCGTTCTTGCATTGAAAACGGATCCCCTTAAGCCTCGATTGGACCAGATCCGTAAGCAAGCTGATGATCATCGCTCTTTGGCTCTTGTGTATGCTTCTTATGCAAGAAAGCTCAAGCTTGAGAGCTCAAAGCTTGTTCGGATTTTCGCGGAACTATCGCGGAACTTCTCTGATCTAATGACCAAACCTCAGTATAGGACTCTTTTCAGCAATGATGCAGGCCCTATTGATGAATCAGTGGTTCGCCAATTGGAGAAGGAAGTGAAGGAGCGGATTAAAACAACACGCCAGGTGATCGGCGAAGCCAAGGAGTCCTTTGATAACCAGCTCAAGATTCAGAAGTTGAAGGATACAATTTTTGCTGTGAATGAACAATTAACCAAGGCAAAGAAGCAGGGTGCTTTCTCAAGCTTGATTGCCGCCAAGTCAATTCCAAAGAGCTTGCATTGTCTCACAATGAGGTTGATGGAAGAACGGATTGCACATCCGGATAAGTATTCGGATGAGGGGAAGCCTACTCCTCCAGAAGTTGAAGATCCTAGCTTGTACCACTATGCCATATTCTCGGATAATGTTGTTGCGGCATCTGTTGTGGTCAATTCAGCAACAAAGAATGCGAAAGAACCATGGAAGCACGTGTTTCATGTTGTTACTGATAAGATGAATCTTGGAGCAATGCAAGTGATGTTTAAGTTGAAGGATTATAATGGTGCACACATTGAGGTTAAGGCAGTTGAGGATTACAAATTCCTGAATTCTTCGTATGTGCCGGTCCTTCGACAATTGGAATCTGCCAATCTGCAGAGATTTTACTTTGAGAACAAGCTTGAGAATGCTACAAAGGACACAACAAATATGAAGTTTAGAAATCCCAAATATCTGTCAATATTGAACCATTTGAGGTTCTACTTGCCAGAAATGTATCCAAAGCTGCATAGAATTTTATTTTTGGATGATGACATAGTAGTTCAGAAGGACCTTACTGGGTTATGGAAGATTGATATGGATGGTAAGGTGAATGGAGCTGTTGAAACATGTTTTGGGTCATTCCATAGATATGCACAGTACATGAATTTCTCACATCCCTTGATTAAAGCAAAATTCAATCCAAAGGCTTGTGCATGGGCTTATGGAATGAATTTCTTTGATTTGGATGCTTGGAGAAGGGAAAAATGCACAGAAGAGTATCATTACTGGCAGAATCTGGTAAGACTGTGAAACTGATAATGAGAAACTAGGACATAAATAAATCATTTATGTTATGGTCACAATCTAATCAATTTATTTCATTTTCGGTTTTTAATTTTTTAATATTGAGCCTATACCATAATATATTCATATATAACGTGATATGCTCATGCTGCTGCAGAATGAGAACCGAACATTGTGGAAATTAGGGACATTGCCACCAGGTCTAATCACATATTACTCAACAACAAAGCCACTGGATAAGTCATGGCATGTTCTGGGACTTGGCTATAATCCAAGCATAAGCATGGATGAGATTACAAATGCAGCAGTGGTGCACTTCAATGGTAACATGAAACCATGGCTAGACATTGCAATGACTCAATTCAAGCCACTTTGGACAAAGTATGTTGACTATGAGTTAGAGTTCGTTCAGGCCTGTAATTTTGGTATCTAAATGGTTAAGTCTCTTCTCATTTGTTGATGCTGTGTCAGGTGCCACTGAAGTTATTTGTTGCTTGGTTTCAATATATTAATCCTTATACGTTTAACAGAGTTCTTAGCTGGTGCAAGGAAAAAGCTTGCTTCTTTCTAATTGTAAAATACTTTAGTATAGTAATTATCAGATTTCTTCCTCTTGTTTATTCATAACGTTTAAGCAATGATGTTATTTTCAAGATATCGTCGATCCTTAACAATATTACTGAATTAAATGTTGTACCTTCCAATTTGGCTTTCAGCTGTTTATTTCTGTCAAATTGTAGTCATCAATTTGAAGCATAAGATGAATATTTATGCACCTGTTTATTTGGAGCATTTTATTCTGTTTGATAAACTTTCTTATAACGTTGTAATAGAATAGAATGTAATATCAAATAGTGGTAGTTCAGTTGGTGTATAAGAGCTGAATAGATGGTGGAAGAATCTCGGTTCGATCCCCATCAATACCATATTTGGAGGGGTATAAAATCTTAATTCTGATCCGTCCCGAACTCGGAATTAATTACATAATTGGTTCAAAGAACTGAAGTTTGTGGGGATATTTAGGGGATTTTACTTGACTCAAAGAGGTAATTAGGGTTACTATAAAAAAAAAGAAAAAATAATAGTATGCAATTGTTGTCTTTATTATATTTTCGTTGTGCACCTAATAATAGTATAAGATAGCAGAATAGTATTAAGGATGATATGTTACTATGCTAGCAGGCGCTGTGACGGTGGAGTAAGAGAATAGAGACAAAACTTTTAATAAAAATTATTTGATTAGATTTGAGTGCTTCAAACACAAAAGAAAGTAAAAAAGGCTAAACATCTACTTTTGATCAAAGTTTTAAGAGTAAATAATTTTTTGGGTTAAATCTTAGTTATAAAAAAAAAGTTTCACTTGTGGTTTCTCTGAAATTCAGAATAAAGCGATGTTAGTTTTTTTTAGAGATTAACGTGGGTCTTCTTTGAATTTTAGAGGGATCATAATTTTGACGAATTTAGTCTATTTTGAATTTAAGAAATATCATAGGTTGACTTTTTTTTTTTTAAGAGATTAAAATGGACCCTGTAATTTTTATTGAGGACCTAAAAGATACATTATTTAAGTTTTAATTTGGTCTCACTTTGCATTTGACGGGTGATTTTTGTTTGGATTACATGAGCAAATATTCAATGAACTCGCTCATATGAGCCGGATAGAGAAAAAGAAGAGGAGAGAGATGAAGAAAAAAGAGAGAGAAGTAGACCATGTAATTAATTTTCGGATTACATGATCTGATTATCAGACAAGTCAGGTCCGTCGGTATTTCTATTTCCTACAACTTAAGTGGAAAAAGAAACTTGTATAAGTATGAGACTAACTTTTTTTTTTTTTTTTTTTTTTTGATAACAGTATGAGACTAACTTTCAGAGGAGTAGCTTGATAATTATTCAAATTTTGACCCAAAGAACCGTTGCTCGGAAGTTTCATTATGAACATTTATCATTAACAATTTGGGTAGCCTCCAGCTGGGGATGACAAATAAATAAGTAACTTTATGATATAAATAAAACAAAAAGCATTTGAGACCAAATCAAAATTTTAGTCAAATATTTGTCCAAAAAAAAAAAAATGGTAAAATATGGGACTAAAAAAGAGCCAACTGAATCTCCTATAGTTGGAAAACTGACTCCACTTTTTTGGATTTTATGATTCTTCTTTTTATAAAAACATTTTGGAGGACAACGATAGTCTGCAGTGTATAGTCAACTGCAGATGATAGCGATCTAAAAGAGTTATTATAAGCATCATTTTGTTATTTGAGTTTTTTTTGTCTTTTATAGTTAGCTGGTGCTTAAACTTGTGTACATTTTGGCTAATTTACCTTCCCAGTCTAGTCAAAAGCAAGGCAAATTTAGGGAAATCTCAAGATAATCCTTGTGTCACAACTTTTAAGTATTTTTTTTAGATACGGTGTCTGAAGCTTTAACAGGTCAGGTCTAATTAATTCAATGTTGAGTTTAATCTGTAGGAGTTGCGACTTTCAAAAATCAAACTCACTCTCCTTCTTTTAGGTAGGTCAATCTTAGAATCTAATTGCATGACAACAAAACCAACTATGCGGATATAAATATTTGAAGTAGTTAATATTGCGGCTTATGATCATGTGATTATTCACACATCACATCCATGTATTTTTTTTTTATTTTTTTGGTAATCCACATCCATGTATTTTTATTTTATTTTTTTGGTACATTGCCAGGAGGTATCCTCATTCAACCTTCTCCGGGCACCATGCCCTCGGGGTACGGTCCGTTTGGGCTAGCCCCTCATTGTAACAGTGGGTGCACTAAGCTTCGCAACCGGAGAAAGGACGAGACTAATCCCCCAACCGAAGATTTTTAGCTCTGGCCCGCAAATTTTTTTCAAGAAACTGCTTGAGGCAGAGTTTGATCCCTGCACCAAGCAATCCCTTGGGAGCTCAGCTGCCAACTTAGCTACCCTTCGGGGTTACATCCATGTATTTTACCATTATATATATAGATGTGACTTCAATAAATTAATATACCTGTTTTTTAAATTAATAGGAAAAGCTACTGCATTGAAATATTGAATTGATTCAAATGTTTTCATTTGTTTCAAAGTCATTTTAACATATTCGTTAGCATACTGCACATGATAATCTAATATGAAATGTTTAAGAAAGTAAAAAAAAAAAAACAAATACAGGTATGTAATATGTATTATACGGTATACACTTTCTAAAATAATCAATTCAACCAAAAAATCTATATTATTAGATGAAAAGATTTATATTAATTTATATTATATCATTTACTAGCATAACCTCTCATGTGAAAAGCTTTATAAGCTCCAAGATTGAAGCATAGATAATTTACAATCCTACTATATCAAGAGCTTATTTTTTACGATTTAAAATATGGATGATTTTTTAAATTTAGACCCACCACATAAAAAAAAATTAGGGTTTGAAATATCAAAATTAAATATTTATTAAAAGACTAAGCCACTCATAAAGATTAAGCTGCAAGAGCCCTTGTACGTTAGAATCAAATTTGTATTGGCTTAATAACACAGATTATGGCTGTGCATGATAATCATTCGAGAATCAAATTTTATTTTTTTTAATTTCTGTTCACGGAAATAGAAACGGAATAAAAATAGCATTTTGGTAAAATTGAAATCGAAAAGTTAAACTTTTTGATGAATGAACTTTTATTGATTTATATTATATTATTCCTTATCATCCAAAAAAAAAAAAACCCTCGTCAATTATAAAATGTTTGAAAATTACAGAGTAAAATACCCTTATGTATATTCATAGAGTGAGTCAAAGAGTTTGGTGCTTTGCATTGGTTGGTGTGCATGCTGTGGTAGTGGTCATTTACATACAGACCAATTTAGGCAGACAAACACTTGTCTGAATCACGAAGTGTTATGCATACAGCCTTCAAAGAGAATTCCTGTTTGGTCATCTGTAAAAAAAAAAAATTTATTTTTTCTTGAGGTTTTAGGTACAAAGGCATCACGACAAAATCTCTATTTTACATCATGTTGAATGGAGGATGTATGGTAAGGAAATAGATATCCACTAACTTTGAATATTAGATGTGATTATCCTTCAATTCAGTATTGAAAGTGGAAACAAACTCAACCTTATCTTGAACTTGAAACCACGTTACTAGAGGTAGAAGTAAATGATTTTTTATTTTTTATTTTCTTATGGATCTATTGTTGGAAAATTAATAAAATCATTCATTGTTTTTGAGGTAGTTAATAACATGGCTTTAAATGCCTGGTTTTGGAGACTCACAACAATGATTCCGGTGGCATGATTTTGAGCTATTGGCATAACTAAGATTTAAATTTCTGATTTGTCTGTGTTAAAAACTTAATAAAAAGAGTTTTATCATTTTTGTAGTCCTTCGATTAATCAATTAATTGGTGAAAAAATCTCAAAAAACATTAAATTAAACTTCTTACCAAGTGATTTTGAGTTTATCCTTGTCCCACTTTATTTTTTAAAATAAATTTTTTTTTTTAAATTCATGTACAAGACATAAGACATTGTCTAATATCCACGTTTTAAGTTGTTGAGGAAGTTAATTCATGATTTCTACTAAACCAGGAAAAAAAATTATTTGTCTTAGAAAAGTTTACATGGCACAAATAATGAAATAAACATTGAAAAGTAATAAATAAATTATTATGTGGATTAAAGTAACAGCCTCTCAAAATGCTATGAATAGATATTAATGAGCTATTCAGTTTAAAATAGTTATAAATTATTAAAAATTAATAATTAATTAATAAGTATGACCCAATAAATTACAACCGTTAGATTAACGGAAACCAACGATTAAGATTTAGTAGTAAGAAGTAGTAAGAAAAAAGAGGTAGTAAGTATAACTTCCCCCTTTAAACAAAGGAAAAACAATATTGTGGTATTTAAAAATTTGATGATTTTAATATATTTTCTGTTGGTTTAGATTTCGTGAGACTTTTTAGTGAGAAATATAAATAGGTTGCCTCTCTTGCAATCTCACTGTAACCCCTAAAATTTCTTGAGATTTCTGTTTTCTTCTTTCTTTGTCGGGTCGACCCACTCGAAACCGGGTTCCGCCATAGGAGCTTTGTCGAAGCTTAAAAACAACATATTTTTAGCGACTTTCATCACAAAACAACCCAGAAACAACAACCCAACAAGATTTTAATATAATCCATCTAAAAAACAGATTTTTGAGTGATTTTTTTAGAGTTTTAGGAAATTTAAAAAATGTTTTTCAAGTTATTCGTCGCGATTTTTCTCTGCACAAAAAATATATGATTTTTGTATTAAAACAACATAAAATAGTGGGGAAATAACAAGGAACAAAAACAGCTTACCAAAAAAAAAAACAAGGAACAAAAACTTCTAAACCAATTTTTGTTTTACATTAATGAAACAAGATTGATTGAAAGAAAGATTGAAACTTTCATAATATGAACCTTATGTTTCATAACAACACATTCTTGAAAGAAATTCCTCCGCTATAGGAAACAATTTCAAACAATTTTTGTACCAACAGATCACTAAAACTTATTTTTTTAAAACCCCAAAGTAATTTAAGGTTTCAATGTATTGTTTGAAAATAACTTGAGAAATTTTCTAAACTTTAATGTAATAAAACCCAGAAATTAAGATTCTAATTTTCTTGAAATACTCAATGAAAACATGCATA